TATGTAGTTCAGACTGGCTTTGAACTCACATTGTAGCCCAGGCTGGTCTTGAACTCACAGCGATCCTCCTGCCTCAGCCTCCCAAGTGCTGGGATTACAGGCATGCGCCACCACGCCCGGCTTTCGCCATATGTTTTAAACTGGTTTATTTTTTTCATAATTGGTTCCACAGCGCAGTGATCTTCAGTTTACTCTGCATGAGTTGTAACATGTTCCAAGCGGCTGGGATCTAAAATAATGGTAGTTGCAAAATAATACGATGCGTTGTGCGTAGAAAGATCAAGATGGGAAAAGGAATGCGGAGATAATTAGACCTTTCAAAGTCAGGTAAGAGTCATCAGGAAAAGCTTCTAGAAAAAAATCATAGGCTAAAATGAGGCTCAACAGCCAAAATCTAAATCTCAGGCCTAGAAGAGCGAGGAAGCTTATGTCTCCTTCCTGCAGGCATGAAGCCCCAGCTCTTTCCTTGTCCACTCTGGCACAGGTGTGGGGCTTAAGGACCTTTACTAAAGACGCATTTCAAAACGTTGTATGCTGCGAAATATGCTGGTCGTCATTTTCACATTCTGTATTTTACTCAGCTACAATGTCAGTGAGGAAATGATTCAACTATTTAACTCCATTATTTCTCTAATCCTGGGTACAAGGAAGATAGTGAAATCTCGGTTACATTCTTTTTCTTTCTGAGAATGTAAAGAGCTAGCACTCTGCAACATGAATATATGTCTGTCCTCCTGACCTTTGGAAACAGCACACCCAGGGCTGTGAGTACCGCCACTTGTGCTGCTGTCCTGAGGCAGTTACACACACATGCCTGCCATTCAGAGTTTTGGAGTGTGCACTGACATCCGTGTGTGTGCGTGTGAAGATAAACGGGTCTTTGTTTTGATCAGGATATGATACAGGGAACTTGCTGGCACATTGTCACATTAAAACATACCACCCACAGAATGGGCTATGTCTTTTGGACTCACTAAAGAGCAGAAACTTTAATAAAACTAAAACACCGAATTAAAATCAACTACTAGGCAAATGGACAATTGACTACTACTAAACAATTCTAGATCAAATAAAAATTACTATAAAATTTTCCATGTCAAGTGTAGAAATGATCAGAAGATGACTAGAAACCTTGGGGGACCAGTGAGAAAAAGCACGGTAGGGGTATTGTAGCTAACTGGTTAAATATAGGAGAAATAAAAAACTTAGACACCAAGACACTATTCTATGAATCTACATATGATCATCTGGACACAGTATTAGACTGCCCGATTTGTTGCACAGAGAATGCACTGAATAAATAAAACAGACACTATTACCACTGTCCCAGAGGGAAAATCCTCCCCTGGAGTTGTCTTCAAGGTCACCCTAGTCACACCATGGCTGCCACTGCCACCACTTAGGGTACACGGTGAGAAGCCTGATTTGTCTTTCTTAAACTGCATACAAAATTCTACCATTTTTGTCCTAGACCAAGGCATTTCACAGTTTCCACCTGCCTAGCAATTTTGTTTACCAAGCATTCACTGGAGCCTTTTGATAATCAGTTTGATTTAATTTTAGAGGTGAATTTGGCAGAGATTTTGTCATATAGTATTAATAACTGATCGTTCCCACAAAAGATCTGAGGTCTGCATTCAGCTGTTAATTGTTACCTGTGACTGTGACTGCCCGGCAAAGGAGTGCTCTGGGAACTGGTTAGACGTTCAGAATCGTCCCCAAGTCCTGCCCTAAGGGAATAGTGGTTTAAAAGCAGGGCTGTTTTCTTTCTCATAAGAATCAGACTATTTGGGTTTAACCTATGGCTACACCACTTTGTAGCTTTTGGGGGCACTACTGTATGATTTTTGGCAGGCTATCGAATCTGTGGTTCATCTCTATGATAAGGAGTTATTATAAGGAACACACCTTATGTGATACTCATAAGACATGCCTAACAATGTCTGTTTGTGGGAAGCACCTAACAAATTTTAGTAGCCATTACAATTGAGCACTTAATCTAATCTTCAAACACCACTTAAGTTTGATCAAATATGAAATTGATCGTAAGCTCTAAGATCTTTATTTCTTTTGGTACCAGAAATCAAACTCATGACCTCACGCCAGGCAAGCACTATGCCACTGAGCTGTATCCCTGGCCCAGTTTGATCAAATATGTGGGGAAAAGGCTATTGACCCCAGAGTTCAGACTTTCCTGTTTCTCAAAAAAAAAGATGTATGCTCAAAGATGTATATAAATTCATTTATATCTATTTACTTAGCTTGAAGATGTTGGCTAGTTGATCAGTCTTCAGAAATATTTATGTGAGGATAAAAGCCCCATCACTTAAATTAGTATGTATTGCTGGTGATGTATATTTTGTTGATTCTTAATATCTAATATACGCATGTGTGAAACTGAACCCTATAAAAACAGAATTTAAGCATTCCTGCCAAACGGAAGTGAATGGGAAGGAAGAGTAGCAGGGTCTTTGCAAAGAGAAAGTTGTCCTATCTCTCTAACCAGTGTCAGAATGTGGAAATGTTTACAAAATACTCATTAAGAGAAAAAAGGGATTGCAAGATAGAAACAAAATCTGGCCCTCAAGTTTACACTAGGGAGATAAGAAAGGCTAGGCTCCTATAGGAGATTTTGCTCTCCAATTACTGCAACCTGACTTTTGGAGGGGAGAGGAAGAGTGGTAGGGGGAGGGAAAGAGAGAGGAAGGATTTCCAAACTTGTCTCCAGTGACATGAGACATTTACGCTCCACAAGATAAAACTGCCACTTAGAGCCCAGGAAAGCTAAACCTTCCCGAGGTGGCCTGGGGCCTTGAGCGCAGTCATGGGTTCCCTGGTCCTGTGCATGTACACCGCCTTCTGCCTGGTGGCTCGCTCGGTTTCTGGCAGTCCCATCATGGGCCTTGAGCAGTCACCTCTGGAAGAAGATATGCCTCTCTTTGATGATGTCTTCTCAGAGCAAGATGGTGTGGACTTTAACATGCTGCTGCAGAGTATGAAAGATGAGTTTCTCAAGACGCTGAACCTGTCTGACATCCCGGTGCAGGATTCAGCCAAGGTGGACCCACCAGAGTACATGCTGGAGCTCTACAACAAATTCGCCACAGATCGGACCTCCATGCCCTCTGCCAACATCATCAGGAGTTTCAAGAATGAGGGTAAGTTTGCATTTTTGCTAATGAACTTGGTTTGTGGGTTTTTTCCCCAAGAAGGAGTAAGTAAATTTACTAACACATAGGGATGGTACGGATAATGAATACATCCACTTAAGGGTATGTGCACACAGATACATGTGGGTCTATACCATTCACATTGTCATTTCAGAACCCAAAAATGTACGGAAAAATGTCTTTTAATACAAAGCCACAAAATGTCTATCATTTTGAAATCATAATGGAATCTTTTAATTTTTAAAATTTGGACACCAAGTAATACAAGAAAATTACTGTTGGTCTGCTGCTATATTTTGTTACTTTCCAAATAGGATTCAATTTCCATTTTGGATTTTGATTGCTGACAAAATTTGTCAATTTGTACTTAGAATGGAACTGGTGAAAATAAAACCAGACCGGAAAGTTGAGATTTGTGCATTATTCAAACTTTGGATCAGCTTCCACTTCCATCAGTTTAAGAAATGTTCAAACAGGATGCAGACTTGCATTTGAAAGACTCTTCCCAAAGTAGTATTGTGTTTGATGTGTTCTTAGAGCACTTTTGAAAGTTTCCAGGAAGTATACATGACCCAGTGAATGATCCAGTTTATTGTTTCTGTGTCTATGTGAAGAGTAATGCAAAAGATTTAAATTATTTTTGGGAAAAATGTGTCTCCCGTCTCCACACATTGCTGTTCTTTAAATTCAGTAACTAGATCTAAAGAGCTAGCAAGTTAATGCTTTTAATATGGTACTAGTAGAAAAAAAATTCTAATATCTGTGGTAGAGACCAAATATATTATTTCATTAATATTTTCCAATTATGCTTTTATAATCATTAAACAGATGTAAAAGGCATCTTAATTGATGTTCAACAGATGCTCTGGAAAGCACTAAGGCAATAGCAGAGAAGCATCTTTCATTGTGGAATACAGGGAGCTGGTTGACCTGGGTATTATAGATAATTAGCTTAATTTATCTAAGCCTCAATTTCCTCATCAATAGAAGGGGAACAGTAATACATAACACAGTTCAGTGAATCTTAAGAGGTTGTGGGTAAGAAAGGATGCTGTTTACTATGAAGTGCTGAACAAACTCAAGATTGTTAATGACTTACTTAACATTCTAGGCATTGCAGGAAATGTTGAGTAGCTAATACTTAGGCTCCAAGTTATTCTTTGCCTTTCAAATATAATTGATGGCTACAATGACTATTTAGTAACATTTCTAATGGAAATGGCAAGCTGAAACCACAGATTCATTTCAGAGGAGAGTCTGTGTTGAAAATGAAGAACCTCCTTCTGCAGGGGTCCTTCCGTGTGCTTCTCAGCACAGAGCTCTAAGTGTCCAGCTCAGGCTGAGGGTGGGAGTGGAGTGGAGATGTTCGCAAACCCTGACAAAGCAGGAATGCTTTCCACTCTCACTTGTCCCAGGGAGGACCTGGATGATCCAGGTCAAGATATGCAGTTTATCAAGATCAGGGTGGGCAGAAGCATGTCTCTGAGTGGATACCCAGTACCTGCATCTCTCTCTATGGGAGGAAATGCAAAGCCAGAGTACATGTACCTCCTCACTGACCTCCCAATCTGGCTGCTATCGCCTCTCTACTGACCCTCTGAGTCCACTCAGTACAACTCTAATGAAGAGAAAGACCAAGAAATCTCTGAACTGAATTCACCTAGGGAAAAAATGAAAACAAGATGCCTTCAGTTCCTAGCTTTGCTCCAACCTACCCTCCACCACCAATTCTCTGCATTGATGCTTGATTTCTTCTGGTGCAAAATGAACAGAGGATAGATACTGCTTTATGAGGTTATTGTAAGAGCCACATAAGACCATGTTAGTAAACACATGGCTTGTGGGATTTATTAGGAACATTAGCTCTTTTCTCTGAAATGCAACTCCTCCTGTGTATTACACATTACATCTATACGTGGAAAAAACATCTTAGTGAATTTATTTTTTCAAAAACAACTTTACTGAGATAAGCAACATAAAGCAATCCATATATACTTAAAGCATATAGCTGTTAGGCTTTAAAGATTTATAGTGATACAAGCATACCTATGTTTATACCAGTAGCAGCACAATTCATGATAGTTAATTTTTGGAAGCAGCGTGTATGTCCATCAGCAGATGAATGGATAAAGAAAATGTGGTACTGACACTCAATGGAATACTACTCTGCCATAAAGAAAGATAAACTTGAGTTATCTGTAGGAAAATGGATGCACCTTGAGACCATAATGTTAAATGAAATAAATCAGGTACATAAGATTAAATATCACATGGTTTCTTTTATATGAGAAAACCAAATTAAAATAAAGACCAAAATAAAAGGTAGATAAAAGAGAGTAGGGAGAGAGATCTTTCTTAAATAGGAAAAAGATGGAGAAATGGCAGGAGAGGGAAAGAGGATGAAAAGAGGAATTAAGGTATGTCATGTACATGTACGAATTCCACACAAGGAATGTAGACATAGTGTACCGCAAACATGTACTGCTAATAATTATGTAAATATCCTCGGAAACCCTCACCATGATCAAACAGTGAACATACTCACCACTACCGAAAGTTTCCTTTGTAATCTGTTCCTGTCACTGCAGTGAGATTCCACTCTGCACTTTTCTAACGAAGGGAACAACCAGTCCACTCTCCCAGTTTTGGTCTTTTATATTCCCTGTCCAAAGGAAGTCATCGCCTCCATTTTTATACTAGAGGGACAACTCCCAAGCTATTTCTGTTTCTTACCCAAAAGCTTGATGATGTGTTAAGGGCAAATGTCATGCTCTTAAATCAATTGGTCTGGTGCCCAGAAGCATCAACTAATTAATGTTTTTAAGGCACTATCTTTGTTGAAGACGTGATGGTAGGCTAGAAACATAACAAAGAGGCTGAGCTGTATTAATTGCCACTAGAATGATAGCAATCTGGTTGGGAAGACTCATTCATAAAATGACAACTGAATCATATAGATGTAAATGACAAAGTCAAGGCGGAGACAGAGAGTGTGTGTTTACGTGACACAGTGTGGACTAGGCCTTCAGTCAGAGGCTTGAGGAAGGAAGGGCCTCCAAAGGGGAGGCCAGAGATGGATAGGGGAGGACGAAGCGAGTGCACTTTCTGAGAGTCAGAAGGGGGTATTCCAAGTGTGAAGAGCACAACGAAAGGAGTGTTTTTGCAAGCAGTGGCATTATGAGTCTTCAAATGAGAGATTTTCCAATTTATTCAGTTGTTCAACAAATGTTAATTGCACATTCGCAACTTTCCATGCATTATAGAAGATGAATGGAAATGAGGCTAGATCAAGACATGAGGACCTGGTTGGGTCTTAAGGGCCAGGTCAATGAACTTAAATTAATTCTATAGATGAGTATTTCCCACTGGTGGTATATAAGATGGTTTGAGTTGGTACCCAGAGGAAGTTATAGAGCATGTCTACTGTTTATCACAGTAGCTTTTTTCTCCTTTGTGGCATTGGGGATTGAACTCAGGGCCTTTTCACTGAGCTACATATAAGAATACCTATATAATATATTGCCCAGGCTGAGCTTGAGCTTGCAATCTTGCAGCTTTGGCCTCCCAAAGTACTGGTATTACAAGTGTACACTATCATGCCTGGCTCTTGTAGATTGAAAAACATTTCTACAGTGAATTTCTACGTTCACCTTAAGGACAGCCTTTAAGTTCTTTTAGGAGATAATAAGTATGAAATAACCAGATACAGATACAGAAAAATAATAGAAGTATAATCTGCAGCAGGGAATCCCACTGAAGTCATGAATTGGGTGCACAATCAGGGAGATGCTCCCAGAGATGATAGAGAACCTTCAACTGGTGGACCTTAGCATTTTTGGTGATGTGGGACCCTTTGCTAACCTGATGGCAAATGTCCTTATGGATCCATTACAGACACTTATTACCTGAGGCAAGTACACATGAGCTTTGGTCACTATAAAATTCTCTAATAAGAAGTCAAGATGACGGTGATTGGAGGTATATGTCTAAGACTACAGGACTCTTATGAAAGTTGTTTCATACAAATTCTTGAATGCTCTGTATGTGCCAAACTCCATAGCAGGCGCTAGAAGGGTAAGACTGGGGAATCAGTCTACCCTCCAGATTCATTTTCTGTCTTTCCTCCTTATAAAGGGACCACACACTCTCAAGTCAATTCCTGTGACCCCTTGGTTTTTGGCTGTTGTGTTGACCTTGTTAGTCTTTGTGGTCTACAGCCGGAGTCAGCAGACATTTTCTGTAAAAGGCCAGGCAGATAGTAACTATTTTAGGCTTTGCAGGCCCTAAGTTCTGTGTTGCAACATTATAGTGCAAAAGTAACCATAGACAAAGCAAGAACAAATGAGTGGGGCTGCCTTTCAATAAAGCTTTATTTTTGAAATCGTGGGCTGTAGTTTACCGATCCTCTGTTCTAAATGGAAGTCTTTCAGGAATGCCAGAGCCCAATCATATAAGAGCTCCACCTATTACACAAATATGCAAATCCTTGAAGTCCTTATCCATTAAAAACTTTAAGAAAAGAACCACAGTCACCACATATCCCATGTGCTAACTTTTTATTGGTTAGGAAAGCTGAATGCTCTCCAACACAACCTCCAATTTCCTCCTAGCCCTGTACCTTTGAGAGAGGTGAGCTATGCAAGCAAGGCTGGGTGAACTTTCTCCCATCCCTTGGCAGCCGTTTCCACGTCAGTTTTACAGTCTTAACTCAGCTCAGCATCTACCGTTGAACCTTCAGTGTCTGCTTGGTCGCAGAATGCTGACATTTTCCTTGTTTTCATTGCTCTTCTTCTCTCCTTTGCTCTATATCAAGCTTCCTGCATGACAAAGCCCTCCTTTTACATACATAAGCACCTATTTCTCTATAAGTCATACCGCATATCTGATTTTTGCAAATATTTTTCCTTTCAGATCTTTTTTCTCAACCAGCCACTTTCAGTGGGCTCCGAAAATATCCCCTCCTCTTCAATGTGTCCATCCCTCACCATGAAGAGGTCATCATGGCTGAACTCAGATTATACACGCTGGTGCAAAGGGATCGCATGATATACGATGGAGTGGACCGGAAAATCACCATTTTTGAAGTATTAGAGAATGAAAAGGACAATACAGGTGAAAGAAACATGCTGATCCTGGTGTCAGGAGAGATCTACGGAACCAACAGCGAGTGGGAAACATTTGACATCACAGATGCCGTCAGACGTTGGCAAAAGTCAAGCTCATCTACCCACCAGCTAGAGGTCCACATTGAGAGCAGACATGACCAGGCTGAGGACACTGAAAGGGGACAGCTGGAAATAGACACCAGTGGTCAGAATAAGCATGACCCTTTGCTTGTTGTGTTTTCTGATGACCAAAGTAATGACAAGGAGCAGAAAGAGGAATTGAGTGAAATGATTGCCCATGAGCAACTTCTGGACCTGGACAACCTTGGCGTGGATGGCTTGTCCAGTGGGCCTGGGGAAGAGGCTCTGCTGCAGATGAGGTCGAACATCATCTATGACTCCACTGCCAGAATCAGAAGGAATGCCAAAGGGAACTATTGCAAGAGGACCCCTCTCTATATTGACTTTAAGGAGATCGGCTGGGACTCCTGGATCATTGCTCCAACTGGATACGAAGCCTATGAGTGTCGTGGTGTTTGCAACTACCCCCTGGCAGAGCATCTCACACCCACAAAGCATGCAATTATCCAGGCCTTGGTCCACCTCAAGAATTCTCAGAAAGCTTCCAAAGCCTGCTGTGTGCCAACCAAGCTGGAGCCCATCTCCATCCTCTATTTAGACAAAGGTGTCGTTACCTACAAGTTCAAATACGAAGGCATGGTTGTCTCCGAGTGTGGCTGTAGATAGAAGACTCCTGTGGCTTATTTAAAAACTGTAAATGTGTATATTTTGTGTTCTATTTAATGAGACTATTTAATGAGGATGTACAGATAATAGAGGCTTGCTGCCTTAGCAAATGGACAGGTCTGTTTGTTGTAGAAAATGCATATTTTGCTAATCAATCTAGTCCTTTCTAGTCTGTCTTTCTTCGTAGTTTCATTTCCTGGCCATGCTATCTCTAAGAAATGGTAGGCCCCCTACTTATCCTGCATGTCAATTTAGAAACAGCAACCCCTAAGTAAAATCCACTGTCAAAACACACATACTCATGTATGCACGTGTGTGCATACATGAACTGAGGAAACTATTATGATTCTATCGAGGCAGGCTGTGTTCACACACATGCATGATTCACTCAAACGTGCATATATTAAAGGCAGCCACTTCTCCTCTGAATAGATTCATGTCAAAAAAATTTGCATCAGGAATGTAACCGTCCCAGGAAGTATTTCCTTTCTGACAAACTCTGGAAATGTAACTATTGCTTTTGTCAGCTGAGTTTCTGCCGTGGCTTGGAGCAGCAGGTCTGGTGAAGGAGGCTGCACGCTTGAGCAAGAGGCTGTTAACTGCCGAAACCAAACGGTTTTGAGAGGCACTGGACTTAGCGGTATGACAGCACAGAATGACCCAGGGAACAGAGGTGCTGGAGAGGGCAGCCCCTGGTTTAGAAGGAATGCCAGAGGGGACTGCAGGGTGAGCTCTGTGCTTCAGGAGATGCTATCTTTAGTGCTGCAGAGGGCAGAGGAGGTGGGAGAGGGAGAAAGGGGAAAAGGACATAGATGCAATCCTCAGATGAGCTGGTAAAGTCACAAGCAGTTCTAACTAGGAAATTAAATCTTTTAGATGAGACCTAAAGTGCAAAGACCAAGAGAAGGACCATCAGGAGGAAATGTTAGTTGGACTCTTCACTTCTGAAAATACTTTTCTTCACTAGGTAATCTTTCCCCCTTGCCTCTGTACCTCTGCTTTCACTCTTTCCCATCTTGCACCTTCCCTCTTGCTTCTCTGCTCTCAGCTCTTATATCCTCCTGTTCTCCTGTGTCCCCTTCCTCCTTGGCCTTCATGACCCAGGCCTTTGCTTTCAGGGGAAAAAATAATTAATGATCTAATGTCTAGATTCCCCCTGATGTTTAACTTGCTTTTACTTTAATGGTATCCTTTATGACATGCTTTGGTCATAAAGAATACTTAAGGATAACAAAAAAAAAAAGAGTCAAAATTCATAGAGATGAATTAGTGAACAGACACACAAAAAAATGACTTGAAAATTAGCTTTGTATTTTGAAGTCAAATTTGCTCCATGGTAGACCCCTGTCATTTTCCCGTTCTTTCCATTCTGCCCTCTGTCCAGGTTGCGACTGACCGGGACTGAAGGGATAGAAGTATTTCTGGCAGGAATGGTCTGCTAGGCAGCTGAGTCTGCCCAGCTGCCAGTAGCTGGAAGGACATTGAAATTCTGGCTCCGGTCGTAGCGCCCCCGTGTGGGCTGGTGGACTCTGTGCAGGAGTTCAGAGCAGGCCTCAAGCTGTGCTTCATTTCCAGGCAGGTGACGCAGATGAATACCGATGTGCTTCCCAGTACATTGCTCCTCCCCGTCCTGCTTTGAATGTTTCTTTAAGAAGTCTTACCTTTTTTTTTTTAATTCTGGGAAATTTTCACTTTTTTTTTTTGCAAACTTCTTGGGAACATAAACTCATATTGCCCTAGAAAATAGAGCTAAGAAATGCTAATGTGAAGATCCTTTTCCCTATTCAGCTCTCAGCTGTAGGCTTCCATTTCCACTGGGAACCAGAGGGCAAATCACGGGGATTTTTTGTTGCCCTAAGGACAGCGATATTTGCAGTGCCAGTGGGAATGTAGTGATTGCCAATTGGCCATGCGACTCAGAGTGCCTCAGTTCTGGGGCTAGCCTCCACAAAACTTGTGTGTGTCTGTGTGTGTGTGTGCGCGTGTGTGTGTAGCTGGCTGTGGCTAGCCACTTGGTAGCCTCAGTGGGAGATGGTGTGTCCTTTGCATTCTGCAGTAGCCCATGTATACTCATATACTCCATAGTGCATCTCACCCTTTCTAAAAGACACTGTAGTAGATATGCAGTAAATGGCTATGCACGGTAGTTTCTGGTACATTTTATTTATTTATTGTCTAAAATATATGGCGATTTTGTGCTGGTAAATGCTTTACAACCAGCAATCCAAGGCCCTGATTTCTAAATTTCAGTAGTGTAAATTCTCCCACCCTGTGCTATTTCAAACCACCAGTGAGATGCTAACTAACTTGCAACTTTCCTCAGCACCTAACAGGTAGCTCCTGGGAGCTGTGTGCATGTGTGCTGGGCTCAGGGCACAGTGAGGGCAGGCCCCTGCGTCCTGCCATGCCCTCTGCTGTCCCCACCAGGCGGACTTTGTCTTGAGCACTGACAATCATCCTGCTATTAAAAAGCAAACATTTAGGCTGTTCACAATAATCCTGCATTTTTACGATATTCTTCCTTGCAGAAAGGGAGGACAGAAGAACCACATACTGGCTATTCAAATGTTGCTAGTCGTATTATAATAAAACTAGTATTTTCTTTCTTCTTAGCAAGCAAAGAAAAGACAAAAACCATAAACAGAGGCATTTTCCGTTCGGCACATCTGTAATTCTTCTACTTCACAACGTTAATACAAAGCCACGGAATTGTTATTGCGATAGTAGAACTTCCTAGTATTTTCTTTGGTCGCCGATCTTCCATTATGCTTCCATTACCATCTTTTCTTCTTCTTCCTTTTTTACACTTTTATGGCATGATTACCATCACTGAAGTTGATAAATCTAAAGAACTCATGAGGAAAGTTGTAGCAGTGGTACTTGGGCAGCCCACAACCTATAGCCATGTAAGTTTCTAGGCTTCCTACTATTTATTGATTGATATATTTATTTTTGTAATATAGTGTAGAATACCAAATGTTTTATTTTTATGTTTGTGTTTTCCTTCCCAGATAGAATACCTTGTGCTTTTTAAATGTTATCCTTCTCTAGAGTACAGCTCACTTGGAATCTATTGTCTGTACAGTACATTCATCTCTCACTTTTTGCATCAAAATATCCTGTTATTTTAAGGAGTCTTGCCATAAGCTTACCAAAGTTTTGCATGTTTATATCTTTAGGCATGCTGTGAGCCCCTTCATATATTTACTGATTTGTAAATAGTACAGGTTTAACTGAAGTGTAAATGTTCCATGAAGTATTTAACCAATAAATGTCATGTCTTCCATAAACTGACATTGTTGTTTCATCATGAGAGGAAAATGTTGTGTGTCTGTGAGGGAAGAGGATGGCTACTTATTACTGAACAGAGATGGCCTGATTGGACACCCCAAGGCGGGTGCTTCCCCTCTGAATGTACCCATTACCTTATCCACCAAGTTAGAGACCTGAGTGGAGGAAACTGTTTGTAATCAGACCAATCACACCTTAAATGTCAAAAATATGATTTTAGCAATTCCCTGAACAGACAACCTCAGAGTGCTGATATTTTTCCAGTATATAATTTTTGATCTGGGAAATTAATGACAAAATACTTTTTTCCAAAACTCTTACTAAATATTTTGGTATTCTTCATAATTTATGCTCTTGGAGTAAAAGATATGTTCACACAAAGGAATGTTATATACTACTCTTACTGAATTTGTCAACAGAACCTAAAGCCCAGTAGTGTTTTGGCCAAACTGTCGTTTATCCCAGTCACAAAAAGGATGTTGCCCTTTGTGAGATCCTAGATCACTTGCAGAGTCTCTATAGGTTGAACGCTTTGCAGCTCTGCACGCTCATGCGTGATGAAAAAGGAAGCACCGTGTCTGTGCGTATTTTCTTGCCTCTAAGCAAGAACATTTGTTTCACACAGTAGATGGAAGTGAAGTAGATAACACTGTACAATTGCAGCAAAAATGGATTTTCTGCATGTGGAACTATGTGAATGAGCTAATCAGTCCATGGAGGAATGACTGTTTGTTGGGATCAGCATGTTTCTATCTTGCCTGAGCGCTGACTTGTGAGAGCCCTGGCCTGACTACAGTGTGCATACCAACCTGCTGGTGGCCGTCTAATGGGCTTCCACAAATGTAGGAAATCAGTTCAGACCTTGACATGCTCAGTCAGCTGAAGCACAATCACATGTTGGATAAAACGAGTTCATTACTCATGTCCAAATTTAGTTAGTAATTATTAGGCTGAAATGAAGCTGGAAATAAATATTTTATGCTGTTCATAAACCAAACGTGTACATTCAGTGTCCTCTGGTTAAATAAAATGGAAAAATTATTTTGACAATAATTATAGGCAACGTTTTTTTCCCCCCCCCGCAGTGAAGTCTGTTTTTATACCCAACTCCACTCTTCCTTCTTTTACGTTTCTACTTCACAATATGACCCCAGTGTGGAATGAAACGTCATGTACCCTGAGTAGAGAATAGGCTGAAGAAACAATAAGTTGTTTTGAGCTCCTAAGTGCTGAGCTCCCTAGGGAATGGCATTCTGCTGTTGTGTGGTTCTCCCTTTTCATATGACTTTGTGTAAATCCCATGAACGCCAGAGACATACACAGAAAATGAAATTACCTACACTTGCCAACAAGTGGGAAAGATTTCTTCTTTGAATTCTTAATGAAGCATATTAAAGAGCAATTTAATTTGGAGAAAATATTCAGGCTAAATTTCACTGATAGTTGATTACTAACCTCATAGAATCTCAGACTGAAGGAAGTTTACCAGTTATCTAAGTGTGCCCTACTGCCTTGAAGCATGCCAAAACCACTTTTCATATTCTCCGCAAATATTAGTAATGAGAAGGGGACCAACTACTTTCTTGAAGGCATCTATTACATTTTTAGAGGACTCTGCCTTGACTGTATTCAGTTTGAAAAGAGGTTTGGGTTATTGTGTGTGCAAGTCACTGGGGAAGCACAAAGGTAAGCAGAAACACGTTAGCAGT